CTGTCAATGGATTAGATTTTGATTCGATCCGACGAAATTAATAGGAGATGGATTTAGGGTCTCAATCCGATAACCCGATCAAGATCTGAATCCGATAATCAGTTAAGTAAATGGATCAAATATGGATATATGTCGATCCGATCAAATTTGTTATAAATAATTGAGTCGGTAAAATATTTTTATGGCATATTATTTGTCATTAAAATAAATAAATGAGAAAATAAAAAAATTTAAAATAATCAAATAATCAAATTCAAAATATAAAAAAGTTGAAAATTTTATAATTATTAAACCTGTTTAAGAATTAGAAATTTTGAAAAAAAAAATTTGATTTCAACCAACACTTTAAAAATCGACCCGGGCATCAACCCGAAAAATGAAGAGGGTCAATGATCAAAAAGTCGAATCGAGATCGAATCGGTATCGAACCAATTGATTAAATAATTATACACATAAATGTAAAATATTATAAAAAAATAGATTTTTTTAAATTTAGTTTACTAATTTAAAGTAAATAAATATCTATATTTTTTAAATTACATTTATTATTGTGATTTATTTAACAATTTCAAAAATTAATAATTAATATGTAATAAATAATTTGATTTGTTAATGGAAATAACAAAATAAAAGATATTTACATTTAAAATTCAAATTCAAATTTACATTATCTAACATCGAATATCAATAGAAAACTAGAAGGTGATTTCTCCTTTAAAAAGGAATATCATGATAGTAGAAGTCACTATTGTGCTTGCTAGTAAAAACGTGTGGACTTCAAATCAGTTCAAATTTCTTTAAAGAATATTGATTTTTTTCCTAATTTTATTAATTTCGGATCGGATATCCAATAATATAGCAAATCGAATATGGATTTAATAATCATAGTGGTAATTACATCGAGCCCTACTTTTCAAGATTCAAATTCATAAATCAGATTTCAAATTTTAATTTTCCAAAATCAGATATTTTATATATAGATACATTTTTTATATTTAATTAAATATTAATAATAATATTATAAAAATTAATATATACATACACCCCACCCCACCCCTAAATTCACGTCTCACTTCTCTCTCGCTCTCTCCGTCTCTCGGTCCTCTCCCCTCCCTCACCGCCACCACTGCGCCGCTACCATGCCCACCGAAATCCTGTCTTCTCCTTCACTCTCCCCTTAGCCTAAATCCTCAAACACGGTCTCTGCCGCTATGAAGTGAAACAACCACCGGACTGTTTGAGAAGACGCCACACCACCGCGCTCAAATCCTATTGTGGGACCCACGTCGTGCTTCTCTGTGTGTGTAAATTGGAATGGTTCTCTGTGGTTTTGATTAATTTGTGACTCTGCTTCATCCTGCGCTCCTCGTTTTCGGCAAGTTCTATAGCTACAAATCTGGACCTGGTGCCTGATTCTCAGGGATGTTCGGGTCACAGGTTCGAATCCTAGAATTCAAAGCAGCATGTTTGGTAAAATTGGTATTTGAAGCAGCATGTTTGGTAAAATTGGAGGTCCAAATCGCTTTCATCCGTCTCTCGCCCTACAGTTTGTCTATATTGGTTCATTTTCTTGTTTCTGGAAATCGATTTTAGAGTATGATGAAGGACTTGTATATAGAAATTGAATTGATTGATGAAAATAAGGTGGATGGTGGTGGAGGCGTCATTGGTGTTGATGGTGGGTTTTATTGGTTGTTGGAGTGGTTTTTATTTAAGCTGTTTTTTTTTTTTTTGGTGGTTGGTGTTATGTAAACGGTGGTGGTGGTGATTGTGCAGATTTTGGATCTTTATTTTGCGGTGGTCGTGCATTGATTTTGTTGGTAGCGGTCGTGTTGGCAGGGGTGGCGATTTTGTGGATCTAATAATTTCTGTGGTGGTGGCAGTGATATTGTTGGTGATGGAGATTGTCATGGTTTTTGGTTTGCCGCCGATTGATAAAGCTGTGTTGGCGACGTTAGTAATGGTGGTTGGGTGAGTTGCTGGTTGTGGTAGCAGCGGTGGAGTAGGGTTAGAGCATGTAAGACGGTGGTGGTGGTGGTGACGTGGTGCTGTATAGTCTATGTGACCAATGCTGTGACCTGGAGCCATGTACTGTGACCAATTCTGTGACCTAGAGCCATGTGTGTGACCTATGCTGTGATCTGAGTCATGCGCAAAAATATTATGTGACCTGAACCATGGCCACTTGAAAATAACATAGGACTATGAACTAAATCGTAAGTCATGTGCAATATATTCTGTAACCTGTGTTGTGACTATTTGAAAATAACATGTGAATAAAAAAAATAAAAAAAAAAAATTGAGCCATGTGCAAAATATTTTGTGACCTGTGCCGTGGCCATTTGGAATAAACCTGTGACTATTAACAAAGATGTAAGATACGAGTCTTATCATGTTATCAATCATTATAAACAAACAAACATGCATTGTGTATGTGACTTATGACTTGTGACCTGTGCTGTGACTTGTGACATGGACTGTGACTAGTGACCTGGGCTGTGACCGTACAAAAAATTCATGGCATCGGAATAGTCGTCGGAATCGGAGCAGTCGCCGGAA